CGTTCCACCTGATGATGAATTTTCAAAAATCTTGCTGGTGCCTGGGACATAGCCAACACAGCCCCGAAGGTCTCTAAAGTGGACATGGTGTTGCAAGTGATAGGTACGACTTTCTCAAATTGCGATTCTCGTCTCATCTTGTTTCAGAGACCAACGTCACGGTCGCTCAGACTAAGCAAGGGACTACCGATGTTGTAATACAGGGAATCACCACGGGGCTCGAGGCAGTGGGGGGGACGGAGGCGATTGACAAATTTATGGAGGGCGTGCCTGCGTTGATGAATGTGCTCGATGAAGTCGCGAAGCTCCATCCGTATGTTTTCCAAGTTTCTTTACAATACGATTTTCTAACGGCCCGTGGTCAGATTCGTAGGAGGTATGTAATGACCGGATACTTGGGCGTCCATTGAGTATTGATACATCGCTTTCCAGTCGCCGTGATGGCTTTCAAGGTACAGATGAATACACCATCTTTATTGATTTTATCTCAATTCGCGGACACAGGCTGTATGGGCGCTAGAGCAGAAGCGGCGTGACAACGACCGCAAAGTACTGGCCCTTCACTTGGAAATGAAAGAAATGATGGGAGTTCTCACCCAGTACGCGAACTTGCTATACTCTAGTAAAGTATCCCGTTTGATTATTGATCCGTACAGACTGAAAAATGTCAGGGATGCGGACGAGATTGCACCGGACGGAAGCACCATAAAGGGTCGCATGCAAGAGATTGTGCAAGCTGCAGCAGATGACATTAAAGCGTGTGCTAACGTAAGTCTATTCTCTCCGTGAATGCTTGCTGACTGAAACAAAACAAAAAGGCCGTTGACGCGTACTCGAAAAAAAAAGTCGTGGTGAAGATCTTGAAGGGACCCGTATGGGAAGGAAAACTCGTCAAATTTGCGGGAGCATTCACCAAACGCCGGAGTGAATTTGAATTTGCTCTTTCTATCCACACTGCTCTCGGCGTCGACGCTGCAAACAGAACCCTCAGTTCGGTAGACAAAGCAACACAAGAAATGAACCTGAAAATGGATCAGATGATGAAAATGTTCGCATCCCTTGTTCCACCTGAACACAAGGAGATGATGCGGTACTTGATTTTGTGAATAGCTTTGCAGAACTCTAACCGTCTCCCTAGGATTGTCGAGCAGAAAGGCGGTCCACAAGCATGCCAAGAGAATGATAAAATCCTGAAAGAGCTGAGTGACCTCGAAGCCAAGTCGACTTCCCTCGGCAGCGCTTCTCAATCTACGAAATCTGCACAAAAGACATCTGCGCTGGAGGACCTCAAAGACGAGTTAACGGTTGACCCAGAAGCGGCGATCGAGAAGAACTTGACAGTTTTTTCTCGCAAATTTGAAGTGCAAAAGCGCCAGATTGTGTCCGTCTCTCCGATATGCATAGGTTTCGAGCTCCTCATTCATCATCCAGGGACGAGTTGACGAAAGTTGTCGAGCGGGAAGGTGACCGAGTCATCAGCGCTGTGACCGCCGGTCCCCACGATAAAATAGTTGACCAGGTGGGTCTTTATTTACTGGTCGGCTTGTTTCTCATTGACTTTTCGTCGCAGGACGTTCACAAAATATGGAAGGAAATGGCAAGCATGAGTGTGGAGGGCCCAATATTGTATTGACCCGTTTCGTTTCCAGGGTTGGAGGGGCAGCGTCAAGTCGCGGCATTTTGTCATGGCCTTGCGTGACTATTACCAGGAGAACGCAGAGGACTCGGATTCAGCTGCAGGATCTGGGAAAAAGCGAAACCCTGACGACTGGGCGCTCGCATATCTCAATGTTTCGAGACTTCACTCGATTTCGGAAGCCTTCGATGATGATGCTTCCGGGTTCGTTACCGTTGCAGAGGCCAATACATTTACCACTTCACGGCCGTTAGACTGGTCGTAAGTTTTACACATCCTGACACTCTTTGACTCACATTCTGGTCTAGTCTCACCCACTGGACTGCCTTTTGGGCCATCGGATTCCACCAAAGCATGTCGATCTATGCCGCGAAGATACGGGAATTAACTGCGAAGGTACGAGAATTAATTGCAAACAAATTTGTTTGACTCTGAACGAATTACCCCAGATGTTTGCACTCCGAACGCGTGTTTTGCCCGCCAACAGGACGTCCGTCAATTCGTATTTGGAAACGATTTATCAGGGAGTCACTTCTCTGGAGTCTGGCCTGGCGCCCTGCTACGTGAATGAAGCACTACAGGTGCGTGAATGAAGCGCTACAGGAGAAGCTACAATTCTGATTGAAGCGCTACAGGAGAAATTCAGCAGCTACACCACTGCCGAAGAAGACAGACTCCGTGGAAACCTCGAAGCAGTTGACTACGACCTCGACGCAGCCAATACATTGACACTTGTCACCGGACAAGGCCGCATTGAAATAGTGGGTCTCTGGTCGCTGCCGGATGCGTCGTTAATCGACATTGTTTTCAGTTCCTACTCCCTGTGATATATCTCCTTCTGAAACGCGACTTCGAAATCTTCAGAATTTGCCAGAGGAAGGTCATCCACACCGAAGAGCTGTGGGATGCGGCTGGTACGCTCTGGTCACTCCGAATAACCTCAACTTGACCCAAATACTAGACACCATCGGCTGGGTGATCTCTGCGGCCCAAGAGAGAGTCGATCTATTGCAATGTGCGTCTTTTCCGCGCCCTTGGAGCCGTCGCTAACAAGGTTTATTTTCTCAGCGACGTTCCAACAACAGAAAGTAGATATGGCACAGGAATTCAAGACATACGCACATGGTCTGGTAAGGTGATATAATTTCTCTAAAGCCAAGTTCTAACTGCGCCATCAAGTTTCAATATATGCACGATCCGAGCGGCATTTGGGATGCAAAAGTGGTCCTCGCACAAGAGTTCCCGGATTATCCTTACGACGATGACTTGGAAGCGCAAGACGTTGACATACAGAAGATCTTGAACTATCCCCTCGGGCTCGAGAAACTGGACTTTGCCGCCTACAACGCCGAACCAGAACGGAACAAACCCGTAGCGACCAATAGTCAGCCGGCCTCCGCTCTCAAAGCAATTCTGGGCTCTTGGAATGGATTCACCTATTCTCCTATCTCCTCGATTGTCCCGTCCTCTGGCATGGTGTCCATGAACCTTTTGGCCAGTGGAACACGACGGTTTCAAGCGTCATCCCGCTCTAATATGTCAGATTTTACGATTGCGGGCGAGTGCAGCAGAGAGAGTTCAGAAATAGTTAAAATCACTTTCAAACAAACTTTTCCTGCTCGATTCTCTCCCCAGTACTTTTCTGGCCAATGGTTGGTCTTCCGGCTTTATCGCAGCTGCAGCTCATTTCTTTTCAAAGGTCTCGAGCCCAGCAGTCGCTGTCTGGAACGTGGGGCGCGGAGGCCGACCCTCGTACACACGACGGCGTCTTCATTTTCAAACGTCTGATCCCAGAGTACATGTGCTTTTTCCCTGCGCCTGCGGTGTTGAAATCCAACAAGGCTCGAGCTCTGTGGACGTTCGCCATCTCTGCTGTTAGATACACAATCCGCAGAGAACGATGGTCATGGGCACTATTCAAGCAAAGAAAGGAGAACCGAAAGCGCTTCATCGAGCTTTATATCCGGAATACAGCATTTGGTCGACCTCTGACTACTGCGGAGCAAGTGGAACTCGGCCTGATTAAAAAGTAAATACATCCTCGCCGACTGTCCATTACTGACAAATTGGTTTAGATCATTCACGACGGCCGACTCGAGGTTTTACCATTCCATAGGTACCACACTTGTTCACGATCCATCATCGACTAAACCTTTCTTAGCTGAAAATCAGATACGAATAACCACTGGCCATGAGTGAGTCTTGCTTTCATTTTTTGTTCGTCTAGTCACGTCTGCCATGCTGTCAGTGTGCGATGCGATTGCTGTACTGGGGTGATAGGCGGTGCTCGAGTCACTTGCTTGACATGTCGACTCGAGCATACTTTCGATACGGTGAGAGTTGCGGATTATTCGCGCAATCGAGTTTGAACAATACCAGGTCGACTTTTGTGACACGTCTGGTTGTACATCGATGAAAGTTGTGCCTTCAGGCATGACGGTATGCCCCAAGTCTTGTACTCTTATTGCTTCCTGACTATTCTCCTTTGTCCCAGCGGCCACACCTGCCCACGCACGACCTACTCAAGCTAAGACGAGTTGTACACGTGAGGCAATTCGGAAAGACATACCGCGAAGCGAAACAAGCTCTCGCGAAAGCTCGACAATTGTTCGCAGACACCGACACTGACACGAATGCTGGCGCCTTGGAGATGCAGTTAGCGTATGAGACTACTGGTGGTCCTAAATGCGCTGTATGCGAGGATCCCGTTACACAACCGTGCTGGTTCTGTGTCCAATGCCAAGGTTTGGGCCTCTTGGATGCTTGGTAGGGCCAACTGACTCGCGTCACAGATCCAAGCTTCATCTGCAATAGTTGCGAGTCTGACACCAAGAAAAAGATTGCCTTTGGATATCACCAAGCCGATTCTCATGACCTGGTGCGAGTTCAAGAGTTTATAGAAGAAGTCGAGATCACTCTTGAAGACCGATTGGCGGACCTGGAGCAGCGGTTTATCCAGCACGAGGCCAATATGGACCAGAGACTGGGGAGCTTGGAGGCCAAGGTTGACGCCCGTCTGCTCAAGGTAGATGATCGTCTCCTCCTGGTAGAAAGGCTATTAGAACGAGTGCTCCTTGCATTAGAGCACCCTCGTTAATGTATTGTATTTATCCCAGTCTCCATGTTGTACAGCGGTTCCGGGTTCTGGTCAAACCTATATATCCTCGTGGCTGGCGGAATAGATAGAGATAAATATGAAATACTGAGTTCTTGAGAGATTTCGACTCCGCGCTACTTTCTGATTCCGTTTGGCTGTCGATATTGTCTTTCATTCTTTATTGACGACTCTCAGTCTTGACTTGACTGCAGGTACATTTTTCGGATGCGACTCCACTATAGCTGATCAATTGTAACGACTTTTATCTGCCCCCTGGCCCAGTTGGTTAAGGCGCACGACTGTTAACAATTACGTGATTACGTAAGCGCAAATCGTGAGATCGAGAGTTCGAGCCTCTCGGGGGCAGGTCTTTTTGCATTCTGTCCTTTGAGTTTTTTTATTCTTTTCTTTGAGCAGAAAACCGTTTGTGCAACGCATCATTGGGGGAGGAGATCCATTCAAGTTTGCACCCGCATCCGATTTTCTTTCTTTATGTTTGCCAATTTGGAATACGGAATCGGAAGGTCTGCGGTTCGATTCCTGGTGGTGGCGAGTTTTTCAAAACATACTGTCAGTTACTGGCTCGCGCCTTCCTAGCAATATTTTCCTCAGAAGAGTCTTGAATAGAAAGACCTTATTTCAACTCCAATTAAGATTACAAAAATATGTGTGTGCCTTTGAATTCGTGGTTTGGAACGATAACGCACAAATTATGCAGAGTTGGAGCCTCAAAATGCTAGTTGCCGGGTCAAAAGGATCAACAAGTAAGTACTCGAGGCGCGTGGTAACACCCACCGCGGCGGTCCTAATGTTCAAGAACACCGCAACTGCCTTGCATCCTTATAAACTGGTATCGTATTATATAAACCGAACATAAAATTAAAAAACATCAAGTGAATGTGGGCAGTCTGCCGCAGCATGGCCGTGGCTCTCGCAGTCCTCGCAGAACAACTCCGAGTCTGACGGGGTTCGCTCGTCCTGGAGAAAGGCGAATCAGAAAAGGTGCGGACAAAAGGTAAGCACCAGCTCACTGGCGTCCCCGCTGATAAAAGCGAGCATGTGAAAATATCGTGGCCTGGCTTTTCGCATATCTCGCAGACGCCTTCGGTGTCTGAAACGTCAGAACTGGCCACACTCGCAGGGCGGCGTCGCGTGTCGACGACTTCGCTGCTTCCTTTGGAAGATTTCCGTTGTCGCGCCAGCTTGTCCTTGGTTCGTTCAAGTTCCTGCTCAAGTTCGTCCTCTCGATAGATCTGCGAATATGTTAGCCCCGGTAATGTCGTCAAGTACTAGGCCGACCTTTGACTCAATTAGCGCCTCGAGTTCGCTGATTTCCTTGTTCAACTGGACGGCATGTTAGCAGAGGCAAAGCATGGGTAAGCGCACGCACATCATGCGCCACCCGAGCACTCTTCATCTCAGAGTCAGCCAACCGCTTGCGCAGCTGCTCGAGCTCCATCTAAAACATTGAGTTCACGAGGATTGGACCTGACAAAGCCTTACCTCAAACTTGACTTTCTGGTCCTTCATGAGGCGTTGCAGAGACGAGACGTCTCCGGATGGTGCATCGTCCAGCGCGTTCTCCTCGCGCGTCAGACTGTTGTCAAGATTCTCCTCGAGAATTTGAACTTCCTGTTGAAACACTTAAACGTTGGATGAAACCACTGTCAGAATAGTGTTACCTGACGCAGCTGCTCAGCCTCGGAGAGCAGGAGCTGATTCTCCGACTCTAGCAGTTTCGTCCGCTGGGTGGCCGCCAAACTCTCCTTCTGCAGCTCTTGAACGATGTGTCTGTTGTGCATCAGCAAACAAAAAAAATCGAGCCGCTCGACTACCCACTTCAGACCGGTAATCTCATCCTTGGCAGCGGATAGGTCGTGTTTCGAGACAGCGGGAGACTGTGGAGCTTGTATGCCGTTGTTCAGCGTCAAGTCACGGTTGGATTTCTTTTTCAGAGCTTCAACCTCGGCCGACTGAATGGCGAGCGCTTGGCGCAACTTCTCCGCTTCCTCAACCGCCTCTGTCTCCCGTCTCCGAGCCTCCTCCATAGAATCCTGCAGTTTGGCGATCTCATCCGCGAACCGAGACTTGTCGGTAGAGGCGCGCTTGGCAACCTGGGCCACTCGGGAGTAGAGATCACCCTCTTCGTTGCCTGCGACGAGGCCATCCAGGTTCTACTTGGAGTCAGCTAAAGCCCTCCAACTCACGCGCACGTTCTCACCGTTAGCTCAGCACGCAGGCCCTCAACCTCAGCCCTGGCATCTTCCAATGCAACAGTGCTTTCCTGAAGAGCCTCCTCAACCTCCTCGAGGCGCCTCCGGGCGCTCGCCTCCGACTTGATTATCCGCTCCACCTCTTTGCGACCCTCGCTCAATTCCTTCTTCGCGGCCTCCTCTTTGTCTTTTATCCGGCGCATGCGCTCTCCGAGCGCGGCCTCGTCCCGCTCCGACGCGGCATGCGCGTCCTCGAGCGCGTCCTCCAACTTGGCCACCTTCTTCTGGAAATGCACCACCTGGTCACGGAGCGTCTCGTTGTCGATCTCAGTCGCAGACGTTGCCACTGGCTTCGACGCGGCGGCGCTCGGAGAAGGAGATCGGGTCGTCGCGCGGGTCCGAGCCTCTAGCGTCGCGAGCCGAGCCTCCAACTCTTCCTTCTCGCGATCAACCGCGCTCAGGCGCTCCTCGTACAGAGCAATAGTTTCCTGGGCCGAGTGATCAGAATACAAAGAGCCGTGAAAAAACGATATGCACTTGGCCGGCCTGCCTGAGCTCGTCCACCTGGGCGCCGAGCTCGGCTCGCTCTTCATCGAGCTCGGTTTGAGTTCGTTTTAGCCGGAGTTCCAAGGTAACTATCTCAGCCTGCTTGGCCTTTACCTTCTCTCCGCCCTCCCGCTCCGCAGTCTCCTTAACCGCAATTGTCTCTTTCAGGGTATCGGCTAAAAGCTGGCTCTGCTCGAGCTCCTGCTCAAGCGTCTCAATCCGACTCGCGCCTTGCGCCTTCTCCTCGTTGAGGCTCGCGGCAATTTGTGAGCTCGAATTCTCCAGCTCTCGTATCTGCGTCGCTCGTTCCTCAAGAGACTGTTCCGCAGCCTTGAGTTGAACCTCGAGCTCCGACGCGCGACTTTGCGAGGCTTCATGTTCAGCCCGTAACATCTCTAATTCCGCTAGTGAGTCCTGATCTGCGGGAGGCGGCACGGACGCGGTGCGCAGCCGCTGGTTCTCGTATTCTAGCGCCTGGATCCGTGATTGCAGCTGGTCGCGCTCATCATTAGCCATCGAACGAGTGGAGGACGCGGATTCCGGGCGGGGCGATGCCCAGGCCGCGCTCTCGCCGTGGGACACGGATCGTGTGATGGGGGACGCGGGTGGGGGCATGGCGATAGCGCTCGGGATCCGTGCGCGTGGGGTGCCCATAGACGGCCGCCCCGTTGCAGAGGGCGCGCCGGGGGCACGACCGGCGAGGCCGGGTTTTGGCGTGCTGAAAGGCGAGGCTCGCGTGGGTGATGGGATAGGACGGGATGATGATAGTGAGGGCGAGGTGAGGTTTCGGGCGGGACTCGCGGGGGGTGCGAGGTTGGGCCGAGGTGGGGTGGAGGAAGTACCATCGCGAGAGCTAAGCTGCTTGGCGGTCATGGAGACATACTTGGATGCTCTGGATCCAGCTGTAAGTTTATCGGATAACGCGGCCGCGGGACTGGCAGTCGTCGTTGGCGGCTTGGTGTTGGTGAGGGTCTTTGTCCGGGGACGCGCTGACGGTGTTGTTCCCGGCGTTCGTGCAGCATAGGACGATGACGAACGCGGTCCGTTCGAAGGTGTCGTGCGTCCGGTTGACACGCGCGAAGTAGACGCAGAGGGCGTCATTCGCGAGCTAGTACTAAACGACATGGATGTCGAGCTTGAAGGGGTGATTCGGCCTGATATCGAGGGTGTTGTGCGGCCCCCTCGCGACGATGCCACCGAGGACGGTCGGTGGACTGCACCGGGGCCGACCGTTGGCGCAGAGAGTTTTGTCGTTGCAACAAAGACACCGCAGTTGGGCGGACATGTAAAGTACTGCTTCCTGACGCGAAGAGATGAGAGCAGAACACAAAGACGCGTGCAAAAGAACGAACCCTGCGACACTGCCGTCGTTCTTACCTTTGCCGGCAAAGCCGCCACCAAGTTCGACGCCGGCCCAAAGGCCTTGCTTGCCGTCGATAGTGCCCACGTAGCGTAGTGTGCCCTCGTAGCCCAGAGACTCGATTCTGACATTGTCGCCGGGCTCGAACGCGCGGGGAGTGGCGCGAGCGGTGCTCTTGCCAAAAACGTCTGATTGACGGCTGGGAGGGCGGGTGGTGGGCGTCTTTGCGCGTTGTGGGACACTGAACGACGACGAGGACGCGACAGACGACGGGCGCGGGGCAAAGGAGGTGGACTGGGGAGAAAGGGATGCGGACGAGAAATCACTCGGTCGAGATGTACGGTGGAGTGCAGGGTCGTTTGCTTTTATGGCGTCTGCAAACGCGCGGGACATGTATTCTGCATCGAGGGGCAGGGGAACGGGTTGCTGCTGGACAGTGCTCGACGACCGCGACCGCCCACTAGGCGTCGGAATACTTCGTCGAGGTGTGGGCTTCATGGTGGTGACTAAGCACCCGTCGAATGAAATTTATCCTCAAAATCCATTCTATGTAGGTTTCTCGTCTTTAACGTCCTTTTCCTCCTTCTGCTCTTTCTCCTTCTCCTCCTTCTCATCTTTCTTCTCGTCCTTCTTCTCCTTTCCCTTCTCATCGCCACCACCCTCTTCGAGTTCTGCCCGTCCCACCGTTGCTTTGTTGTCGACCAGGGCATGTAATGCAATGACCGCTCGCAGCAGACTGCTGAGATAAATCACCAGTAACGCGTCGTTGGTGCTTGCGGCGAAGCTCTCCCTTACTGTCCGATCGCCGAGGTCGGGCAGCAGATTGAATACATCCTGCAGGTGATATACGATTTTGTGGTCCACCGGCATCACGCCTTGGGACACATCGACGAGGTATTTCTGGATGTCGGAGAGTCGTGATTGCAGGCCGCGAAGAGAAGCGAGCTGCTCGGCAACGCGTGTGGCGAGTGTGGTTGTCGTGCTGTCTTTTATATCGCGCAACAGATGCTCGACGCCGATTTCCTCGGCTTCTTCGCCTTCGATGGCGGAGGGGACGTGTACAAAGGTTTTGACGGTTTCTGTGCCATCCTGTACACGCAATCAGAGTGCGCAGAGATTCATGACACGCAAACGCACGTCTTTGATTTCGTCCACGGCAAAGTATGCGTCTGTGGGGATGCCGACAGTTTGGGGGCGGACATCGACGATGACCATCAGCGGGCGGGCGACGAAGCGCTTGAAGAGATC